ACAATCTGTGAGAAAGTAGAGACCTAAGATGCTCCAGATAAATGGCTCAATTAATTGTACAGAGGTAGACTTCTTTGAGCTGAGCCGGAGCTGTGAGCTCTTTATTAAAAGCACTATTCTGTAGCCCATAACCTTGTTCCTTGACTCCTCTCTGGTTTCCAATTTAAACAAGTCCCCATGCGGCCTGCTCTAAAGGGCTTTGTCTCCCTGTCATTGTTAAGAGAGCTGAGGCATCCTGGAAGTGTGAAATCAGACCTCATGAGTTGAACGGTTCCCCAGGGAACGCTGGACTGCACAGAAGGTCAAAGTCATGGGCCGGACCATCTGAAAGTGTCTGATCGCCGGTCTGTGACACAGCAAGTTGGGGTGGGGTGTGGAGGCTAGACTGAAGTGGACTGAAATTGAACACATCTTAATTAAAGCCCACAGACAGCAAAACAAAATGTTTTCTAGGCAGCCTGTCAAATGGTGGTTTAAATTTAGCTCTGCTAATGAATCTGAGCTGCTAACTGTTATTTCTTAAGATAATAAGACTCTCAGGGAAGCTGATAAAAAAACCAGTAGCATGTCTTTTTCTGCTGTTTTGTTACTGAAATATTTTCCAACAATGAAGACAGTTTTCCTAAAGAAAAACATGGGAACAGTCTATGCAAAAAAAGGGGTAGTCAACAGCTCTCTTAGAAACTAGTAGATTTCCAGACTATGGAGCTGGTGAGTTACAAATCTTTACAGTGTAGTGTTGCTCTAGAAAAAGATATGCTCATTTAATGGGACTATTTCAATGACAGCTTATGTTAACTGTAAAATTCTCTCCCTCTCTTCCTTTTTTTTCTCTCTCTCCCTCTATTGTTTCCTAAAAGAGATGGTGCATTAATTTGAGAGATCAGTTCACCTGGAGTGAAGTTTTATATTAGTGTACCTTTTAATAGAGTGAAAAGGTAGGGCATCTTTTGAAAGGGTTTCACAGTTTCCCATATCAGTGTTTCTGAAACTGAGTGGCTGGTAATCCCTGGGGAGGCTGTGACCTCTTCCTCAGGAGCTCAAAAAAAACCCAGGGGAAAATGAAGGGGAGGGGCTGAGGAGAAGAACCTTTTTCTTTTTCTTCTCTAAGAACTTGAAAGAACCAATAGGCCAGGTCTAAATATGCTGCAAAGAAAGCCTCACTCAATACAGAAGACTTTAAATGTTCGGCTGAAAGCAAGAATTAGGCCCCGTCCAAGGAAGAAATAATTAGAAACTAGAAAAGACAAATTCCAACATACATGAACTGTTTCCCATCACCACCACCCCCAAAAAAAAAAAAAAAAAAAAAAGTCCACCATTGGTCTCTCTCTCTCTCTCCTCATAATCTGTCCAGTTTCAGGGAGCACTTGATTTAGTGGTAGAATCTTCCCCCAGTGAACACAGGGCCAGACGATCTGCAGGTTTTGCTTTGATGATCCAGAGAGACATTAACCTTTTCACTGGTTACGTGAAAGGTAAGTAAGTTGTACCGTGCAGTATTTTTCAGTTAATCAAACTTTTTCCCTCACGAAGAATTTAGCTGACCAACTTTGAAAACCGGAGCGCCACTTTCTCAGGCTGTGAAAGGCTGCCCACAATTTGACTGAAATTTCAATCCACTCTTGTGCCTCGCTCAATGCATGTGTATGTGTGGGAGTTGTAAATTGAGGCCTTAACCACCAGAGTTAATCTCTTTTTAAAATCTGTATTAACCTTAATGATTTGAAGTGCACTGTCCAACACTGGGCTATTGAGATGGAAGAAAAAACTACCCTCGACTATCAACAGTTTATTAGGGGCTTAACTGAAGTGACCTACTGTAGTAGACTTCAGCTGAACAAGGCTATAGGCTTTTTGTGGAAAGGGAAAGAATTGAGGGTTTCATTAAAAAGTAATTTGTGCTTTATACTCACTCATTCAAAGAGAGTCTCAATTGCTCTTTATTCACACAGAGTTAATACAGTATCACAATGTTTCTCAATGAATGTGTTGTAACAAAAGAAAAATTTTACATTTTGAAAGGAAAAAACTCTTTGTAACTGCAGTAAGATTGATGGCTACTTAAAAGATTATAGAATCTCTTTTTCCTTGTGCTCATGCTAAATGATAGAATATTGTTATTTTAAATTTTTTGCTTAAACTATGGAAGTTTAACTTTATGTTTTAATCATTAAAAATATTTTAAATATAGGGTAAAGTTGGGCAAATATGAGTTTGTGTTGTTGGACTTGTCTGGGAAAGTGTTCAGAAACCAACTAAGTATCTTATAGCTATAGCCTCATTTATATCAGGTCAAAAAATATTCTTTGCTACAAGTGATTTAAAATATCCCCTCTCCATCCACAACAATCCTAAATGGATGCTAATTTGAGCATCTGAAGACGCACCATTGACTCTACTCCCTTCCCTCAAATGGTTGCTGAGTATCTTGTAGAGCCTGACTATGATTATCCACTGAGATATAAAACATATTTTTAAAGTTCTTCTTTGAGCAAGTAAGAGATAAAGTATGCAAATAGCTTATTTGTGATAAGCTCAAATTTCATGATACCCAAATTTCATGATAAAGACCAGGAAGGATCAGTATACATATAAATATTTATCCTTTTCAGAAGTAAAGATTTTTTTTAAAAACTTGGTAGACTATTCAGAAATTTCTGTCTTAAAAACATGGTCCTCGGTTTCTGCCACCATCACAAATGTCATAAAGACCACAAAAGGTCTAAGAGTGAGCAAGGTCAAAGACTGAATTATCCTCTTGCCCCTGAAGAGTTTAACATCTCTCTTATTCAATTCAGAGCACATTAGATTATAAGGTCAGTGAGGAATGAGGAATCATTATGTCCCTAAAACTAGAAGGAAAAAATGGAGAATCTGTTATTTAGTATTCCCCAAATTAAAGTTCATTTTACCAGATCAAAATTATGTCTCACTGAATCCCTAGGGAAAAGGTGATTCTTAGTCACATTAATTTACCTAGAACCATTATGAAAGAAATATATCTATTTTTTCCAGCTTCAAGAGAACATGTACTTTAACTTGCTTAGTGGCATATAGGCCAACTGGGTTAACGTAGTTTGCATATTCATGAAGTTTCAAAAGCAATGACAGCTTCTCTCCAAGAGAGACAAACATATAATTGCATTTAACTTGTGTAATGGGCAGGTATATAAACTTCTGAAGTAAAGGGGACTTGAATTTTTCTATAAGAAATTATTGTGCCCACTATAAATACCCAGTGATAGTTCTTAACACTTAGGTGCCCTCTGAGATACTTTTTATTTTAGGCTTTTCTCCCTATCTTCAGATGTTTTTAGCCCAACACTGGGTGCTCCCCTACCCCGCAGAAAATCCTGAAGAAAAGTGAAGATATTTCCCATGATGGTGAACATCTTGGCCATGAATTCCTGAATCTACCTGCTGCTGGGAATCAAAGGCTGGCCAGAACCTCTGTAGTGTAAAAGCAGCCCTGAGTTCCTGTTCTGGTCTTTAAGTTAATGTCCAAAGTGAGCAAAAAAAAAAAAAAAGCAGTTAGTCAACCATTCACTGTTGACTGTTGGTTCTAATAACAAAAGCAGCATAATAATTTAGAAATCACTGTGTCCAGATTAATTTGATTTTAACCACACCAGAAATAAAATACAAAGTGAATAAACTTAGCATTCACGAATTGTTTAGTACAAGGAGCCAAGTCAGTATATTTGCAAAAAGATTACAAACAATCCTCTCTCCCACTCTTTTCAGGTATGCCTATTTTGAAATAATATCTGACAGTTGTTATTATCTTCTTGGTTACAAATGAGTTGATAAAATCCTCTTTAAAGAAACTGTAAACTCTCAACATTTTTACTTTTATCATACAGTAAACAGTCATTCAATACTATGCAAACATTAAAAGATTTTAAATATTGCCATTTTTGAACAGACATTTGCTATTTTAGTTTTAAGGCATGTGATCTTTTAATTAGGTTTTGATTCTGTTCCATGAATTAAGGGCAGCAGTGATCATGTAATGGGTTTGCAAGCCTTTATATGGTAGGAAAAGTACATTTCTCCCCTTCAAATAAGTTAGCTACCCTTTAAGGGTCAACTTGCTGGCCATTCACAGTGGTAAGCATATTTCCACAAATAATAAGTGGACACTTTCTTTCAGGAACAGGAAAATCTGCACAAAATTGGTCAAATCAGTCCTATTTATTATCCACCTTGAGATGGACAATTTAAGGAATTGTATAAATACCCCCCAAAGCCTATGAAATTAAAGAATAAGTGAATGCTCACATAGTTGCAAATTCAAAACAATAATTTAATTCTGGTAATTGATGAATTAATTAATTAATTAACATGTCACAGAAACAGCAATATCCAAATCAGGAAGCTTTAAGACATCATACTGAGTTTGGCATTTTTACAGGCCTGCTTCTTGGTTAAAAAAAATTTAGAACAATGTAGATGCTTAGTTTAGATCCAGAATGATCTCTGGGATGTGCTAGGGAATTTGGACAGCTAAGGAATTGTATCAGCAACCCAAATACCAACAGTTTATACCAAGGAATTGAGTATTATGTATCTAAACTTTCCAGCGAACTATGCAACAGATTTCGTGCATGTTTGAATTATTAGTGTTGATGCTACAATATCATCTGAGGGAAGCTGATACTGTCTAAGAGAAAAAGATACAGCATTACTACCCCAAAATGCCAAAATGATGAAACCTGAAGGAAATATAACCACTATGCTGACTAAACCTTGGAGAAGGCAACAATTCAAAAGTTGTTTCCCTTTTTATTGTTTACTTTTTAACATGCTACCCTTCTTTTAAAAAGCAGAGACAGTATAAAAATCAGGTGGATAGCAAATCTTTGTAAGATCAACAAACTTTGTATTATTTACTCTGATGATCGAGTCAGGTGAAATGAAAAGTTCAGTCATCAAATGGTGTACACCTTGCATGCTGCTTGATATACAGGCAAAAGGAAAACTGCATCGGCTCTTACCTGTGACATCAGCGGCCATTAACCCTTCTGCTCTGATCACTTTCACCTGGAGGAATCCCACATCTTTCAGGTTGTGAAATATCCGCAATGGGCTCTGAAAGAACCCAACATCAGTATTAGAAAAGAAAGGTCATAAAGGGTCTCAAAGAGTGCGCTGAGGAAACATTTAAGTGCTACAGTTGATCTCAGGATGCTGCTTAAGTTATCAAAGGGATATTTGTGTTCCTTCAGTACAGATGACCTTTCCACCATCAAGAATGTATACACACACACATTTATGTAGATAATTGTTGCTATATAAGTAGATTTTTTTGAAAGAGGAAAAAATACCACAACATTTCTCCCCCGTAAGTAATTAGCAGTAGATGATGAACAATAAATTATAAAATACGACATGTCTGCATTCTTCCATCAGTCTCCTTTACCAAAGCGCTCCAAGAAATCTTTTATCTGTGGGCATGATAATTTGTAGACTATTGATTCTTAATACTGAATCTTAAGTTGTTGGTTAAGTAACACACTTCAGACTTTGGGAATAAGAAAGACAACATTAAATTAATTATTTTTCTACTCTTTTCTTCTTGGGCAGCTTGCAAATGGTAGGTGCTAGATAAGGGTTAAATTATTTAAGACTATTTTCTAATATTTGATTCAAAAGACGTATTTCTACCACACACCTTTTAGGTGTTTTTAAAATTTATTTGTTTTATTTTTGTCTTCGAAAATAAATCAGGTTGATTGAAAAATAAATTCAAAAGTGATGAGTAATTTTTCTCAAATTTATAATTTTGTTTGTCATTGTAGTAGGTATAGAAGTATACAAATTTTGATAGAAGAATCAGATCCAAATGCTGAAACCTATTTAATTTCATAAATTAATAATGGTAGAGTTTGAATAAGCGTATACCAGAAGGAATTAAAAGAGGGATAGCAAGAAAATAATCCAGAACTCTAATTAACGGACACAAATAGAGAGTAAAATCAACCTATAGAACATGATATGCATTTGTTTATTTATACTTCACTGCATCTTTCTCATGACAAGATCAGCACTTTTATTCAGTAAATCAAAGGTGCTTCTTTATCATAATCGTTAAAATGCTTTAAAAGCAGGAGCGTAACGTAGTTTTACCTAATAAAGTTATCTATTAAAATGTTACCACGGAACATTCCCATCTTCGCATTGAGAATGTGAGAAGACTGACAAGCACAAGCTTATCGTGATATTAACTTTATCAACCCCATGTGACTAGTCATTGTTTACACTGATGCTCTGACCTTGGCACACTGAGAGGAGGAAACGCAGATAGACGTGTAATCTCAGAGCCTAACTTCTCAAAAAGAGTGTTTAGCACAAGGATTAGCTCTTAATCTTTTATTGTTTTTAAACAGTTGTTTATCACCCAAACTGTGTTGAAACTATGCCTGTGACAGGGTTCAATAAAAATGCACTTCTCTCTCCGTTTACATTCCTGTAAATTAAGGGTTTAGAAGTGGAAACTTTAGACCGCAGTATTATAATTCAGAGGTTTGTAGGCATGTTGTCTTCCTAAGGTCGCAATGATCAGGTGTGGGAAGCTGCTTCTTATCTCAGAGCTTACTGAGTGTTACAGACCAGGTAAGTCTCCTAATCTAACGATGGAGAAGAGTTTTAGCAAAAGGTTCCTGTCCTTTAATTTTTAGGAGCAATTTAAACTAAGTTTCACCGTGACTAAAACAAATATCTTCAGTCAGAGAATCGTTTTCACGCTGGTAACCTCATTGCAGAGTCCCACTGCTTCTGGTGCTTCAGCTCCCAAGTTCTGCTTTCCATTTGGAGGGGTAATTATTATTTGAAGGTTTCATTTCCTCGAGTCAGCTGACACTCAGTAATTTATTGCAAACTTCAACTGCTTAGGCCAGTAACACATGGATTATAAAAAGAACATCAAAAAACAAAAAAGCAAAAAATGTAAATATATCAGTTTAAAAATATAACTTTAAGGAATGCTTCATCAAGAGGTATTCCTGCCTTGTTATTTATGGTTATTTTAGAAGGCCTCAAAACCTGGATGGCTTCTGAAGCCAGAAATTTCCATAGCAGAGGAATCTATGATTTGCTGTGCATCCTTTCAGCCCTCAATAGATGGGAAAAGATTGAAAGGCTCTGGAGAGGGGTCCTCTTTATTTTTTTAATGAAAGGCTGTATAATATATTTTCTCTATGGCTGCAGCAGCTGTCAGGGAGAGCATCTCAGTTCAGCTCTATTACGGGAGAGGCAATACCCCGTCCTACGGCATCAAGATGCTCTGAGGGGCCAGAACTGATTGACAGCTTGTCACCGTGACGTCTTATTCCATCTCTGTTGTGGAGAAAATTAATGTCACACCACCAGCCTTATGACTCGCTGTCATCTTAGAACCGCTCACCTTTTATCAATGCTCTAAATAACATTTCAAGCCTATCGTCTCACGGTGGACAATCCGGTCAAGGGACATTAAATCAGATGACTGTGAAATGTCATAATAAAAATGGAATGCTAACAACTTCTTCTCTAAACTAGCTCCTCTGGTTTTTAAACTGTGACAAGGGGGAGCAAGGGTTCAGCATCCCCATTCTGAAAAGGTCATACAATCGCTCTTGGTCTACTACCCATTACTACCCGCCCCCTGTTGACCTTCCCTGCTTCCCCACCACCCGCCCCGCAAAAAGAAGAAAAAAAAAGAAAAATGGAATTAGCCATCTTTTCAGAATGGGGTGATCAAATAATAGCAAACACAGTAACGTCTGTTTAATTTGTGGGGCTTCAATGCTTTGCAATGAACAGCTGAATGACAGCAATGGAGAACCTTTTCAGGGCTGTTTCTTATGAGAGTGGGGCAATCCACTTACTTTCCTCACCAGAACCAGAGCCAAATCAAATTCTTAGGTTGAACCTAAACTTAAAAAAAATAAACACACAAGTTCTCACAGGAAAACATATGTATAATTCTACAAATAAACTCTTTTATATTATATGTTTCTCCAAAACAAGTGATATTTCAAACGTCATACAGCATTCATTCATTTTATAATCTATAGAATAAAAAGGAAACACTCTGAAACCCTAAATCATAGATCTTTGTCCTTGCGTTGCTATGAGTAATCATAATACATGTGCTATATTGCATACACTAGCTTCTTAGCAAATATGATTCTAAAGGGAGATACAGGCCTATGCTTGAAATTCAGGGCTTAAAAAAAGTATATTTAAACTTGGTTCACTTTTTAGTATATTGAGCAGAATATAATCTGAGAATTAGCCGGGACATCCACATAATATTTTACATTTTACTGAAATAATAACTAATATTTGAAAGTAGGTATAGAAACAAATACTCAAATTCTAAATGGAAATGGCTGATTTAAGGAATCCCTTACAGCAAAAAGAAAAAAAAAAAATAGTAATTGGATCATTTCTAATTACCTAGCCTGTAGTATCATTCTAATATATGGGATAGTATCAAATATTAATCCATCAAATACAATATTATAATACCTAGAATCATTTTTATATTAATATATGAATTAATTTCTTTAAAATTGTTTTAATTCATGAGTCTCACTTCTGTGAACAGGAGAATATGTCTTGGTGGGTACCAAAATGTGAAATAATTTTCACAACTGCAATTATATATTAGAAGAGGCCACACAATACCTTTGGCTCTTAGGTGGTTTAAAAATATATACTATTTAGCCTTGCTAAGTCACCTCTATTAAACTGTTTATGATAACACCATTGGTGGATGAGATGTACAAGCATTAGCAGACAGCTGATTCAGTGGAGATAGCCAGAATAAATTTGCTGAAGCACACATCCTGCTAATCTGTTTGAAGAATATTGTAGAGCATTAGTACCAGCACTTCATGTTATCTGCACAGCCTGATAAGGTACATCTTTATTAAATTCAGTTATTGGAAGGATGTCAGTCAGCAAATAGGAATATTTTAAAATCTAAAAAAAAAAAAAAATTAAGCGGTTCTTTGTTAGTCAGAGCTTGGTTTCATGACTGAGTGTCTAGAGGAGCCTTCTAAACACCTGGCAGCATTGTACAATACAAGCTTTGTAATTTTAAGCGCAAAAGCTTTTCTTTTTTCTTCCAGCTTCACGGGTACGAAGACATTCACTTTCTCGAGGCTTCACTAAGAGAGAACAATGGAGTAAGAGCTCCCCTCTCTGTTGATTCAAGAAAACTACATGGTGGGAAATGCAGACCGTGAGGATGCTGGGAAATAGGTAGATTTGGTTGTGAATGTTTGGGTTTGATAAAATTTGAGAAGGGTACTTATTTTAGTGACCCACTATGCCACCCTATCACTCTACATCTGATCGAAAGGTAAGAAAGCTGCCTTTTAATTATATTTCACATTCGATTTTTAAAAATTAAAGGAATGAAGTGAGGCTTTTCTAAGCAGTTGAAAGGGAAAATTATTTCTGTGAATATCCTGCAGTAACCAACCTACTAATTAAAAAGTAGGTGCAGTTAACTCCATTTCAAATTTGTAAGGACAAGGAAATCTTAATTCCAATGACAAATAATCAATGAACTCATTTTAAAGTATTATATAAACTCAACTTTCCATTACAGGAAGTTTCCCTGTATGATAATTTTGTGGTGTGATAAAATTACTGAGGAGAATCTCAGAATCTAGAACTTTCTCTGGAAGAGAGTCGAGAGAAGACCAGCTGTCTAGATATCCATGGGTACCCCAAGTGCTTCTGCAAAGATATGCATGGTATTTGCATCTGCCCAGCCATCTGCTTCTGCTGATTCATCTGTCAGACAGCTCTGCAGATGTACTTCTATCACTCCATGTAAATTATTTACAACCTCTTCTAGTCACCCATGACCCTGAAGGAGGAGGCTTACATACGTACATATCTCTTTAATATTTCCTCGCGTTCTTTCGGGTCCTCCAGGGAGTTGATGGAGAGGTCAGAGATGCTGACTGTGGCCGAAGCTGTCAGGGTGACCAGCAACACCAGGTGACCCTCCCCTTCCTCCAGCTGCAACTCTAGCTTGTGTGTCTGTTCCCTACTGAGAGCCGACAGGTCGATCTGGCACCTAAAAAGAAATGTTTTGAATTAGCAAAAGGCTTTTTTTTTTTTTTTTTTGCCACATCAAACAGTGGAGATGCAGGCTGCTCAGAGCTATGTGAAAAATAAATCAATGGAAATACCGTTTGGACCACTGGAAGCATATGTATTTCATGTCAGCTGACTTCACAAAATTCAGACTCTGATTATTTTAGTATCTAATTGCTTATTTCTTGTAAGATGCAAAAAAATGTGCTCATCTGATTTGATTACTACCCACTATCACCATATTTATAAATCAGTAGGGGCTTTCAGTCCCTAGATGGCCCAGATCAATGGGGCTTTGCTTACAGAGAGACTAACATAAGCTGTCTAAAGAGGCAAACTACCAAGAGTGAATTTTTGTGTCACTAAAACAATAGGTGTTTTGCCCTCGTTCTGAAATGTTATTAAGCAGAGAGTAGACCATTTACTATGATGATGTCATATGTTTTACATTTTTAAAACCATGCCAATTTATTCACAGAACACTGCATAAATCTAAGTTAACGAACAAACAAATCCTCTGAAAACATTATAGCTGAAGTGTTACGTACGAGAGTTGCCTGAAGAGAGACTTTGTAATAGTATGGCAACCGATGCTCTATATATCACCTCCTCAGAGCTGAACACATTGCAGACTCTTTTCATAAAAATGTCAATTGATTTGGAAGAGAAAGCTACTGTGGCGACCAAAACCACAAGGGCAATAAACAGAGAGAAAGGGGGCAGACATGAATAAAAGACATTTGAAACAGGAAATAGCCATTTATAAGAATAGATGTGGTATCGTCATAAACAAGGGGTGGTCAGCTCTTAGGGACAGATTAAATTTTTGCCCCTTCTTATTCTTCACTCTATTTATAGTTTATTATTTTGCTTTTAAGTTAAACATCTGTGAATAGGGCCTCAAAGCTTATGGTTGAGTTCAAACATCTTTAGTGAGAGTGATTTTAGAAACTGAATCAAAGTTTGACATATATGTTTTATTTTTGCCTATCAAAAATGACATGAAAGATAGCCAGACTAGAAACAATTGGGAGAAAGAGGAATATAGATGCAAGAAACGAAGAATAGAAACGTCCTGGTCAGTGATAGAAAATCTGCATGCACTAAACGCTAACTATCAAGACAGCAGGAAATCAGGATCTGTACCAAGTCAGGAAAACATCTTCCTAAAGTTAGGATGTATATCAAGTAACCTCACTGTTCCTGCAAACACAACATCCATTTCAAAATACTCTCATGCTGTCCCCTTAGATTCTAAATGATGAAAAATCATATCAAATGCCTTATTTAATATTCAAATTTTAATTGGAATTAGTTCTTAATAATACCTGGAACAAATTTAGGGTTAAAAAACGCAGTGGTGAAGAACAGCTAATCAAATGCATTCTCTAATAAAAAGGGGCAACATGAATATGATTTTCTACAGATCTTTCTGGCATCTGGCACAGTGCCTAACCTATAATTTGTTGAATGTGAATGAATCTTTGGACTAGATTGAGAGTATAACACTGGAGAATTGAACAGGGATGACAGTTCAGATAGTATTTTTGGTTGGTTAGCTTGGGACCAAGAAAGGTATTTCACTCGCTCTGATCATGAATTTCCAGTCCTGCTCATGCCCTATTCCTATGTGTGATACTGCATCACTCTTAAAACACATTGAAACCTTCTGGAGGATTTCCTTTTATGCCTATTACCATTAAGTGCTGGTCATTTAAGTGTTGGCCTTCCTCCTCTTTTATATATATTAGAGTCATTGCACTTAATTCTTTAGAGTTGGGGAAGGTGTTCTAAAGATGCAGTCCAGGAACTGCAAACTGGCCATTCTCAGATCAAAGCTGGTCCATAGACTTGTTGTTTTTATTGTGCTAAAAAATTTTGAATTTAAATAACTTTAAAGAGAGAGCAAATGTCCTCTGAGTTATTGTCCCCAATACTGTCTAACTTACAGCTGGACTATTTCACTTAATTCTGTGCCCAGCGCCAATAGGCATAAGGATTTGTGATCCTCAAAATCTCCTTAATTTACCAATGAGGAAACTGAGGGCCAGAGAAGTCACATGAATCAATGGAGATACACTGTTAGTTATTAGCAGAGCCAGACCTGAACCTAGCACTCTGGAATCTAAGATCTAGGCTTTTTCCTTAACCAGTCCGTCATTGCTGTAATTGTGCATCCTGGAGGAATGTGCTATGTGAGGCAGCTCTTAAATGGGGTGATATCCAGACTTGTTTATTTTTTTTGCGGTACGCGGGCCTCTCACTGCTGTGGCCTCTCCCGCTGTGGATCACAGGCTCCGGACGCGCAGGCTCAGAGGCCACGGCTCACGGGCCCAGCCGCTCCGTGGCATGTGGGATCCTCCCGGACTGGGGCACGAACCCTGCGCCACCAGGGAAGTCCCTCCAGACTTGTTTTGAACAGGACACATTAACTCAGGTTTCAAGTACAGAAGTGTATTATTTTTATGCTTTAAAAATATGTATGAACTAGGAAGAATGCTGTAAGTAATTGTTCTTAGAAGATGATAAGCTAAGAAAAAATTACAAATTGAATTTTAAAAGCTATGAAACTAATAAAATTTAAATTACCATTGCACATCTATAGGAAAGATTATACTTTTCTGCTGCAACTAAATTTTCAATATTGGGTACACTCGTAGAAACAGTCCCAGGTTCTGTCCTATATTTAATGGTTCAGAATTTTGACTATAATTATTCTAATATAGAAAATGCCTATGTATACAAATATTTTGAAAAGAGAGCATTAATGAATTCAAGATGCTTTTTGCTAGTTGAGGTTACTCAGATCTCCTATTCATCTAAAAACTCTGCTCAGGAGTAATCCTCAGATGCCATTTAAAGCAAAATGTCACCTGATAACCAAGCAAAATTGTCCTAGTAACTTCAGGATAAAGTCAGCATTACAGCATCACTGATATCTGCATTAAATGGGTATCGAATCAGATTACTGCTGGAATTTGGTGGAGAAAAAGCTTTTGCTATTCCTTTGTTGTTATTGAATAAATATGTACAAAGATGGAACTCCTGCAACATACTGTATTGCAAAGTGAATTCAGGACTAATTACTAGGGGCCAGTGCTATGTTTTGAATGTTTGTGTGCTCTCCAAAATTCATATGTTGAAACCTAGTGCGCAATGTGATGATATTAAGAAGTGGGGTGGTTGGGAAGTGATTAGGTCATGAGAGTGGAGCCCTCATGAATGGGATTAGTGCCCTTATAAAAAAGGCACAAGAGAGATTCCCTCACCCCTTCTGTCATGTGAGGACACAGAAGAAAAGAGCAGTTTGTGAACCATGAAACCAGACACCAAATCTGCTTGTGTCTTGATCTTGGACTTCTCAACCCCTAGAACTGTGAAAAATAAATTTCTGTTGAATTCCATCCACCCAGTCTATGGTGTTTGGTTATAGCAGTCCAACAGGCAGATTCTTGGCTTGCCTGTACTTGGCTTGCCTGTACTATTATGTTCTCAACAAAGGAAGGATTCACTAGTTTGGTTACAGAAATACTAGGTGATCATTCAGATGGTTCAGGATAAGCAAAAATTGATGGTTTTATATTGTTATGAAAATAAAAGGCAAATTTTTAAAAGTATTGAAGCAAGTTCATGAACTCCAAAAATATATACACAGACACATTCACAGGGGAAAGAGCCTGAGACTGGGCATCAGATTCCCTTGGTTCTAGCCCTCCATCTGTCACTAATTAGTTGGATGACCTTTTCCAAGACAACTTAGCCCCTGGAATTCCAGGTTCCTCATCTGTGATATGAGGGAATTGAACTAGATGAACTTCAAATTCTCAAAAACCTCAAATTCCACAATTTATTATAACTCTATCCATGTTTACCCTTGTTTACATCTTCCTTTCTTTGCAATTCCACAAACCAATAAAATGGTAAGAGAACAAATTCATCTTACAGGCAATGAAATATTATTCCTCAGATGTATTACGCCTCTACCCTGCTGAAAAAAGTCTGAGTGCTGGTGCCAGAAGGCAGACAATCTAACCTAATATCAAATTGTCTTCTAAGCAGCACTGGGAGGGGGTGCATCCAGATCACCATGCGTGGAGTGAAAAAGGGAGTGTGGATTCTCCTCTTTTGTTCAAAGAACAGCTCCCCTTACATCTGTTTTATATCTGGGTTCCACAAGGAACTCCTGGGTCCTCAGCTGCCTGCTTTGCCTCAGCCTCGACTTTGGCTGGGTATTTCCAAGGGGCTGGTCTTCATCCCACCACTGTGACCAATCAGCTGGGCTTGAGTCCTCATAGGTCTTCCACCTGGGGCTGGCCTAGGACTGTCCTAACTTTCACTTGCCCAAATGGGCTGAGCACTCTGCTTGGCTGCCACTGTGCATCTAGGCCCAACTGCCACATGCCCCAAATCTCTGGCTTCTAAGGCCACTTCTGCACTTGGATAAAAAGCCATACTGTGGAGTATGGGATCTGGCTTCCTGATCAACTGTCAAAGAAACCAGATGAAACAATGCAGAAGTTTTCTCCTTATGGGGTGAAATTAGATCAGTGGCATAGGTGATGGGAAGATAACTCCCCATGCCTTCCACCCTCTCACAAATCATTCCAAAGCAGGATTCTCCATATTGCCTATCCACACATGGCCAAGTGGGCACACCTGCAGGGCAACCACTGTGTCTCTGAAACACAGGGAACATGGCCAGCCCAGTAACTTATCACCGTGCATTACTTCCTAGTCTTCCCTGCCTCATGTTCTTTCTCTCTCACTCTCAGGACCTGGGATTGTACCTCCCAATTAAGTATCAGCACCTAATCCCTGCCTCAAGCTCTGTTTCCTAGGGAACCTGGTCGAAGGCAAAAATTATTGATACCATTTAATCCCCACAGTTACAGATGTCCAAACCCAAACCTGACCATGTCCCACTCCTGGCTCCCCATCACCTATAACATATCCTCAGTAAGGCAATGGGGCACTCCACAA